TTGTTTTTTTTTTTTTTTAGATTAAACGAGTGGGTGTACTTGAAATTGGTTGAAAATACCTAAATGAGGCTATATATAAAATTTGAGCAAGATTAGAAGTGATTTAGACTAGTTTTAAGTAAAAAAAAAAAACAGACCTAAAAATCCAACTGCGACATGTATATATCACGTTGTATATCGTGTACGTCAGTGTATATCACACACAGGCTTTTAAGGACGTCTGTGTATATCACTTTGTATATTGTGTATACAACACAATTTTTTTAGGACACCTGTGTATATCACATTGTATATCGTATATATAACACAAATTTTCATGGATATATACAGATACACATGATATACATGAGATATCGCTGATATACATAGAGATATACACGGGATACAATAGGAGATACACATGTGGAGTCGTCTTAAACTTGAGTTTTCAATCTTAAATGTGTTATACAAAGAAGAAAAATAAAATTTTAACATACTTTTTTGATATAAACATTATTATGATGTTATACACTGTGATATACAAATAATATAATTATTATTGTATTATATATATTTGAACATACAGATAAAAAATTAGAAAAATAATTAAAAAATATTTGGAAATTTTTTCAGATACTACTGAAAGAAATGGAACCTAATTTCTAGGATGATGGTTGCTTTGAGAGAAGAGAGAGGAGGGTTTTAAATATTTTTTGCTATTGTTAAGGAAAATAATTTTGATGAGGTATATTCCTAGGATGATGGTTGAACCATTAGAAGAGAGAATAACTGTAAGCTACTATATGCCAAATCCCCCAGGTTAAGTTCACAAATGACTCTGATGTTAGAACTTTTGACCTTTGAGCAGCTACTTGACCAATAGGCAAAATTTCAAGTTTAACAAGTTTTGTTCTATTAGGCAAAATTTCAAGTTTAACAAGTTTTGTTCTATTGGGCAAAATTTTTGACTTTTGGTTTGCCCATTGATCAGGTGCCCCGCTTCAAAGGTTAAAAGTTCAAGATCAGCTTCTTTCAAGGTGAATTTAACCCAAAAAGAATCTACAACCAAGCGTGATTTAAATGAAAAAATGTAATCTGGAAATTTTAAGTAATATTTTTTTGCAATATAAACAAGAGACTCTTCTGTGTTCAAATCACAAACCAAATGTTGGACTTAAACTATAAAAGAAAATATGTTTGTAACAGCGAATCTACAATGTGCACGAGACAATACATTCTATTAGGTCTTGTCCCCTAACCCCCTCTCCTCACCCGGGCCAAGTAACTGAAGTATCTCTAGTTGTGCTCAAGATCAAGAAAAGCAAAAAAAGCTAAAGAAACTATCCATGTTCAGAAGCAACACATTACAAGTTTCAACTTTTAATCACACTATTTATCTCATCGAAGTTTGGCATCATTCTGTTTGCTCCCCTTCAATGCTGAAAGAGAGAAGAATGATCTTGTTGCTGAAACATAAAGTACCAAAACATTAAGGACAAAGAACATACGCATCATTATCATGTAATGTTACAAGTTATGGCAAGAAAGTAAGTCAAACTGGAATAGAAAAAAGTTGTAACCTTTTGTTGTAGTCACCGAAACTGAGATATGGCTTTCTTGCAATTTCTGAGCAGAAAATCTGCCTATACCATTTGCTGCTGCAAACAAGAATGTTCATTTAGGTTTATCAAATTAGGATAATGCACAAAAAATCCATAACAAAATGAACCACAGTCCATCTGAAAGCATTTTAACACTTGCATATGTGCAATGACTAAAATTAACAGACAACTTAAACAGTCAATTAGAAAAGACAGAGGGGCTTGAAAAAACAATTGATGTGAAGCAAGAACAAAATACCAGATAGCTCGTAGACTTCAGATGATGCCGACTTCTGTTGCCCAGCATTTTTTGCATGACGTGTAGCCTTCTTAACTAGATTGTCAGAACTTCTCTTAGTGAGAATCTTAGAATCCTCTGAATCATCCTCTCCTTCAGAAAATACAGAGGGGCTTAAAAAACCAGTTGAATTTGCATCGTTCTTACTCTTCCGAGCAAACTTCAGAAGACGCTTAAAACCTTTAGGAGTATCCTTCTGATAGACCATGGTTGGAGGATTCTCAGCACTACCCCAGTCAATAACGTCAGTTTCACTGTTGTCTTCGAGCAGCATTTGAGAAAGAGAATGACGAACTCGTGGACTTGAGACTCTTACAGGTACAACATCATCCAGAGATCCATTATTACAGAAATCACCATTACTTGGAATGGACTGATCCTCGTGTTCCTCTATTTCCACCCAGGCACTAGGTGAGATGTTTGGTTCTCCTTCAACCTTTGTTTTTGTTGTAGAATCTTCAATCAGTCCAAAATCATCCGTGTCATTTGGAGTAACCTTATCAAACCTTTCTGTGTTTTCACATATCTGGGGGGGTTTTGCCTGAGCTTCAGAGTCTTTATCTTCATGGACTTCTAAATCTTCAAGACCCCTATCCTGCAGTTGATTAACAGGATCAAATGAAACAGAAGCCATCTCTTCCTCTTCCATTTGAACTAAATCTACAGTGTCCGCCACACACTCTTCAGGCTGAGATGAAACTTTAACCTTTCTCACTGGACTAAGACCAGATCCAGTGCCTGAGCCCTTACGAAGAAAAGGCTTTGGCTCCTTTGATTCCAGAGGCACCACGCTACTTCTCTTTGTCACCTTGCTAAGCTTAGGTTTCGCTGAGGAAGCAGAATCTTCAGAAGCAGGCTGAACTTTGGATCTTCTAGGTTTGCTAGTTTTTGTCACAGTTTCTAACTTCTTTTCACTTACACCTTTAACGCTCTTTTTGGTATCATGCTGTGTTTCTCTCACGGTCTTTGGTTGTAATCTCTCAACCTTTGTAGCGGTTGGCACCGGCTGTGATATTCTGCGGGTAGGTGTAGGACCTGCAGGACTTTTAGCAGGTGATATCCCTGCAGCTCTTGGTGAAGGTGCAGATGACCATGACTTGCGGGTTGCTGGCAACGTTGAAGGTTTCAATGGAACTTTCTTTACGACTGCAGATTTAGGAGTTCTACTTTTGGGATTGGCAGGTTCAGACAAGTTCTTCACTGCTTTCTGTGTTCTCTTTATACTTGATTTTTTATTATCATTAGTTGCATTTCTTGAGACCATCTCCTCTTTTCTCTCATGAAGATTTTGCTGTAGTGCTTTAATTTGCTTTTTCTTCTCTCCTTGCTTCCTGGTAGTTTCACCACGAAGTTTCTCATCCCTCTTTTCTTTGTAATGATCATAGAAACCACCTCTACACTCGTTGGAAAGACGTTGGAGTTTGCAATCACTAGGTGCCAGGTTCTGGTATTTGGTACGCTTGGTTTCCATCATTTTCATCAGCAATTGGTTTAGTTCTGCTTCCTTTTTTCGAGTCCATTCAACTGAGGCATTTAATTTCTCACTTGTTTCTTCACACTGGTTAGGGAGAGACTCCTCTCTCTTTTCCTCAGGACTAGATGCTCTTTCTTGAGGTGTGTTTGATTTGCAATCATTGTCAGCAGCCTCAGCATCATAGCTTTCTGGAGTTGGGTGAGACTCTGGATTCATTTCTGAAGCACTCTCGATTTCATGATCTTCCAATTTATTGGCAGCTAAGGAAGCTACTGGATCACGAGAAGCAACATTTACAGGGTTAGCACGTTCACACACCCCTGAACTCCATCTTCTCAATACTGCTTTATTAGCAACTGAGACATTCAATGATGACTTTGTCTTCTGAAAATCTACTGTTTGACCTCTCTGTTTGCTTTCAAAAAGATTAATTGCATCTTGCACGCTTATTCTTTGTACATTGTTCTCAGATTTTTTTGAGGTTTTCTCACATTCTTCCCCGTCATCATTATCGCTTGCAGATTCATCTTTATGAGAGAATGACCTTTCCCTGGCAGGAAAGAAATTCAGACTCTTTATTGTTAAAGCAGTGGATCTTCGTGATCCAGAGCGCCCAATTTGGACTCTTTGCATTGGAGATGCAGACCTCCTTGGTGATGCAGATCTTATAAGAGTCCGACTCCTTTCCACCACTGGCTGTTCCTGCTCACTTGCTGATGAAATTTGCCTCTCAAGCTGAGCAGCTTTTGCAGGCGAGGCTCTATACTTCACAGCTGTATCTGACTGTGATGCTCTCGATGTCTTACAATCCCTCTCTTCTGGACCAATTTTCTCAGTCCTGACATCGTTGTTAGACAGAGATGGTTCTTTAGCAAGAAAAGCACCAGTTATGTTTTCCTGCTGCAATGCAA